ATTCATGGTAAATTTGAGCTCAATTGGGCTGTTTTGAAAATTTAACCCCGATGACACCTATGTGACCCCTGATCCCAGACTGGGGTGTAGGAGGTGTCACCGGTTCTTAATGACGAAATTTTATTGAATTTATTCCAATGGTTTGCCATTAGTAGCATTTTTAAATGTCACTATAGAGAACAAAAGAATAACCCTTTAATGACCTTTGACCGTAATTCGCTGAACACCATAATGACCCTACCTTATGCCAATACATATGTGCCCAGGACAAGACTGTGCTATGTTATTTGTGACAGAAGAAGTCTTTTATTTATTTTTTTGAAAGTGTTTTACCCTAATGATCCCTATGTGACCTTTGACCCCAAGCAGTGAACACCCCATGTATGAGAGGTGTCACCGATTACACTGACCAGGTTTGGTTGAAATCGGCACAACCGTTTGGCACTAGTAGCGTTTTGAAATGTTGCCAGAAAAAAGATGAAAATTACCCATAATGACCTTTGACCCCTTTACCCTGAACACTCTATAGACTCTGCCTTATGTCAATGTATATGTACAAAGGACAAGACTGTGCTACGTTATTTTATACGATTTTTAATTTTTTTTACCCTAATGCCCCTTATGTGACCTTTAACCCAAAGTTGTGAACAACACATAAATGGGAGGTGGCACCGGTCCTACTGACCAAGTTTTAACTAAATCGGTCCAGTAGTTTGCCACTAGTAGCCTTTTAAAATGTTGCCAGAAAGAAAGAAAGAACTAGAGATACTATGTTTACTAGAACATGAACCCAGTCATTTTTTAAGAGATAAGCACTGTGACCTTTATCCTCAACCTGTGAACACCCCATGTTTGGTAGGAGTCTGTCTAATGCAATTGGTTCAATCGTTAGTAACTAACAGTATTTAATAATCTTCACTATTGTGACCCTTGTGACCTATAGGTGAAGAGTAGTTTTTCATGTTTAGAAGGTCATAAGGATCATTACAGGTAATTTCGAGTTCAATTGGGCTATTTTGAATATTTGACCCCGATGGCCCTATGTATCCACTGATGTCAAACAGGGGTATAGGAGGTGTCACTGGTTCTTAATGATCAAATTTGATTGAATTCGGTTCAATCGTTTGCTATTAGTAACATTTTAAAGGTTTCACCTATGAACTTTGACATATGGGGTGAAGAGTATTTTTTCGTGTTTAGGAGGTCCTAAAGACCATTCATTCTGGTAATGGTTTGCCATTAGTAGCATTTTGAAATGTTACTAGAGAGAACAAAAGAATAACTCTTTAATGACCTTTGACCGTAAATCGCTGAACACCATAAGACCCTACATTATGGCAATACATATGTGCCAGGACAAGACTGTGCTATGATATTTGTGACAGAAGAAGTCTTTTTTTGAATGTTTTTACCCTAATGACCCTTATGTGACCTTTGACCCCATGTATGAAAGGTGTCACCGATTATACTGACCAGGTTTGGTTGAAATCGGCACAACCGTTTGGCACTAGTAGCGTTTTGAAATGTTGCCAGAAAAAAGATAAACATTACCCATTAATGACCTTTGACCCCTTATCCCTGAACACCCTATAGACCATGCCTTATGCATTGGAACATGAACCCAGTCATTTTTTAAGAGATAACCACTGTGACCTTTAATCTCAACCTGTGAACACCCCATGTTTGGTAGGAGTCTGTCTAATGCAATTGGTCCAAACGTTAGTCACTAGCAATAGTTGATAATTTTCACTATAGTGACCCTTGTGATTTTTTGCCTATAGGTGAAGAGTAGATTTACATGTTTAGAAGGTCCTAAGGATCATTCCTGGTAAATTCGAGCTCAATTGGGCTACTTTCAAAATTTGACCCTGATGACACCTATGTAACCACTGATGCCAGACAGGGGTGTAGGAGGTGTCACTGGTTCAAATTTGATTGAATTCGGTTCAATCGTTTGCCATTAGTAACATTTTAAACCTTTGACCTATGAACTTTGACATATGGGGTGAAGAGTATTTTTTCATGTTTAGAAGGTCCTAAGGATCATTCCTTGTAAACTTGAGCTCAATTGGGCTATTTTGAAAATTTAACCCCGATGTCCCCTATGTGACCCCTGATCCCAGACTGGGGTGTAGGAGGTGTCGCCGGTTCTTAATGACAAAATTTGATTGAATTTGGTCCAATGGTTTGCCATTAGTAGCATTTTGAAATGTTACTAGAGAGAACAAAAGAATAACCCTTTAATGACCTTTGACCATAAAGCTGAACACCATAAAGACCCTACCTTATGCCAATACATATGTACCCAGGACAAGACTGTGCTATGTTATTTGTGATAGAAAAAGTATTTTATTCATTCTACTAGGAAACAGAACCCAGTCAGCATGCTGCTGACTGGGTAAGAAACTGCTAGGAAACAGAACCCAGTCAGCATGCTGCTGACTGGGTAACCTGACTTGGTAAAGAAAGAAAGAAGAAACTGCTAGGAAACAGAACCTAGTCAGCATGCTGCTGACTGGGTAAAGAAGAAACTGCTAGGAAACAGAACCCAGTCAGCATGCTGCTGACTAGGTAAAGAAAGAAAGAAGGAACAAACTGCTAAGAAACAGAACCCAGTCAGCTGCTGCTGACTGGGTAATAATAATAATATTGCTTTATTGTTTAATTGTATTGATAACTTAAAAAGAGAAGGGATAACAGTTAATCTGATGCCATATTAGTGTAATATGGTGGAATAATGGATAACAGTTAATCTGATGCCATATTTGTGTAATATGGTGGAATATAAGCTGTTTAAGTTTTACCTTGATAGCTATTACCAATCCCGAGTTATTAGCTTCAAAAGTTTGAGGAAATTGCATTTGCGCATCTAGAAGATCTGAGAGGGTCATACTGGAACTTTTTTGAAATCTGGTTGATTTGACACGGAATGACCCATTATAGTGGTAATTTATCTTATAATGATCTGCCATTGTTACAAAGTTTATTTAATAATACAGAAGTTCCAATCAAGAAAAATCTAAACTCATTATCACCATCTGTTCTTCAAGGCCGTGGAATACATTTTTTAAATGTATCCTCATCGAATCTAACTAACGAAAATACACAGGGAAGCACGAAGCAATTAAGATTTTTAGTTAGAAAGAAAAAATATATGAGAGTGATGATTTATAGTATTTTATAAAATGCATCAAGAGGTAGCATAAACCACATGCTTGTTTAAAATTACAAAATAAAAATATTACTATTTTAATAGTGTTAATTTAAATATTATTATTATTATTATTATTATTATTATTATTATTATTATTATTATTATTATTATTATTATTATTATTATTAATATTAATATTATTATTATTATTATTATTATTATTATTATTAATATTATTATTATTATTATATTAGACATAGGGTTTTTGAACTCGGTTGGGGCCAGGATGGAACCAGACATAGAAACGACAAAGGTAATAGGGGGTTTCTATGGCCGGTTATTTCACGACAAGTAATCAATAACAATTTGCCCCAAACTGCGCCCAATATGGGGAAAAACAAAGCATCCAAATAACTTCACAATAATCAATAATAAAGTAGGCGGTGTAAAAGATGTAGAGGTGGGATAAATTTAACAAAAAATTAAGAGAGATCCACCTCTTGTCTGAACTGGCGCCATATTAATTGTCAGAGAGCGTCTCGTAGCTAGGATAAACTCTCTAACCGAAGAATGACCTCTAACCTAAACCATATTACTCCGCCTGTACAGATAGGCGTGAGGCGCCTGCGCTAATATAATGTTAATTAAATCTTATTTATTTAATGATTATTATTATTGTTATTATTATTATTATTATTATTATTATTGTTGTTGTTGTTGTTGTTATCAAGTAGTATAAATTTACCATGACTTTTCAATGTGAAGCTCGTACTGCACAACTTGCTGATTATAACCTTTTATTCAAAAGTAATGAAAACAATCTTGAATATCTGTAAGTAAGATTATAATAATAAAAAATATGTAGGTTTTTATATAGCGCTCTCATACAACTCAGTCTCAGAGCGCTTTTCCACATTATTACCCCAGTCATTGGAACGATGCCTATGGGAAAACTTCCATAGTTTGCTGCATGTAATATTTCAGCGCGCTTTTTGCACTTGAACCTTTTTATACTCCACGGTGGAGAGAAGCAATGTAGATAAAGTGCCTTGCTCAAGGACACAAGCGAAATGCACAGCGAGGATTAAAACCCCGATATTGAGGTTGGGAAACCAAACCGTTCCCGCTGCTCTAAACCACTTCCACTTATAAAAAAAAAAATACTGTAAAATGTCTGGTTTAAATCCTGTTAATAAAAAAGCAAGAGCTATGTGGGAATGGGAAAAACAATAAACTACACAGATTATGTTGAAATGAACCAATAAATTACTTAGTTTTGAAAAAATATTACACATGTATTTAGAAATGTACCAAAAAATCATTTTGGGAAAACAATATTTTAAAGAGCCTAGCGATCTCAAAACTGTTGTATGTATGAATATCAATAATTAAAATTTTCTAAAAAACAAAGTTAGAACTGTCATAAAGTAAATTTATTTGGGTGGAAAGAAAGAAAAAAAATCAGAAGAAAAGCAATGATTGGTTCAACCATGGACCTTATTAATAGGTCCATGGTTCAACTAAAAATAGTGGAATCAAAATGTTGGACTGATCCAATTAGGATGTAAAGCTACTGAAATAATTAACTTTAATGTTTTAATGTGCTAATTAACGTACAAATGTCTTATGTATTAGTACATGAAATAAATGGCTCTGTTTTAGCCCGAAAGACGAAAAAAAAAAAAGAAAAGTAGATTATTATGAACGCCTGAAAGCAATATTAATTCAGTTTTGTAATCAAGGTTCAGAAATTCACATATGTACTGCACCTAATAGCGTAGTTTGGAATAGTAACAACAAATTATTACATCTTTCTAATTATATGTTAATTATATGTTAACTTTAGGCATTCTACCCAATCGCGAATGACAACATAGACATCCAATATGGGGACATTCTGGCAGTACAATGTTCATATGATTCCAGTGGCAGGGACAGTATAAATTATGATGGGTATGTATAACTTGCCAAGTAATAGTCTTTTTTATGTTAATTGACTGTCTTTGCTTTCACCTAATCGATAGGCTTATTAACTTATTTGAATCTGTTTAATAAACAATTCATATACGAAAAATAAGCTCTAGTAGTGAAAAACCATCTCATATCACCGTGTTTTGCAAGCTACCCTCGCCCCTCACTTAATCATCGAGCCTTGGCACACTTATTCTGCCACCTCCATTTCAAGACTCCTACATACACCACTTTTTTTAACTCTTTTCTTGTAGACTAACTGAGAAAGATGAGTGCAGGTTTTACATGATGTATTGGGTAGATGGAAGTCATGCTTACTACTCCACGCGATGCGTGCCTATTGATGCCAGGGATCTGGCATTTCCAGTTTGAATAAATGCTAAACTTGTGTTATATTCTACCGTGTTTGAAGTTTATTGTACGCCTTCTAATATGTAGTTTGGATCCTACAGCATGGGCAAATCACATAAAAAAGGATAGTGAGAAGGATGCCCCAGTTTGTTTTCTTCTTTTTTTTTTTGCAACCTTTTCCTATATTTAAGCTCAGCTAAAAGAATTGGTATAATAGGTTTTAATAACTGTATATTGTTGTCACGTGATTTTAGCCATGTTTGTAGAATAAATAACGAAAGCGGCTAATGTAATAAATTCATTTACAACATTGTATTTATCATTAATATTGTCGATACCCTTAACAACTACGTTCATATTTATATCGAATAAAAATCCATTTTTTCGAACAATTGTTTGACTTTGCCCCAGTATTTATTTACATGTATACAATCAAACATCATATGCAGGTAATCTTCCGTTACACCACAGAGTGAACATAATGGAGATTTTATAATTTTGTATTCGAATAATTTTTTGTTGGTTATTAAAATTGCATGTAAAAGCTTAAAATTAAATTGAGTTTTATTTCATAGATTTGATCAATTTTCTTTTTCCAAACACTTTTTCATTCAATAAGGTCATGGTGCAATACGACTTGCCAGTACAGTATTCCTTTTGGCGTATTAATCTATTATCTTTTTCATGAGGAAACTTCACCATTTACCAAATTTTCAATTTTTGAACCAGGTTTTGCCGATCTCTTCTTATCTCTTTTAATTACTGCTTCAGGCAATTTTGTAACAAGATTAACAGTGAAGCTCATTAGTTGTGAATAGTTCATAAGAAGACTAATTAAATCAAAAACCATGTTGTAACTTCTAACATAAGTCATTGATTTTTACAATTCAAAAGCATATCTATTATGATTTTTATCTGAAATTATAGCTAAGGTAATAAAAATGCCACATTTATTTTAACAACAGCTTTTTAAAATTCTCCAGGATGGTTTTTAAATACTATAATGGTAATGTAATGAGAAACAGCGATGCATGCTGTGATAATGACTCTTAAGTAGAGGTATTCTTCTTTGATGTTTAATTGGATTATTGAGATAAGATTCTGGCAAAACCTGGTTCACCAACTCGCCTGAATGCCATTTTAAAGGGTTTGTTGGTAAATGGGATAGTAACAGCATGTGAATCATATTTCTATATATAATTTTGTTACTTGCCTTATATATTCCATTATATTCCAATATTTCATTTATGAATGGGGTGTTTAAACGATTATTCCATTTTTAGTACAGGGGTGTTTAACCCAACCCGATTCAATATTTAGTACAGCCCATACAAAAAAATTCTATAGAATTCTATCAAAAAAAAACTATAGAACGTCTATAGCATAATTGTTTAGAAAATCTATAGAAAATTCTATAGAAATAACTATAGAAGCCCACTATAAAGTCTATTAAAAATCTATTAAAACTATATTAAAAATCTATTAAAACTCTATTAAAAATCTATTAAAACTATATTAAAAATCTATTAAAAATATATAAAAAAAAAAAACTATAAAAAATTTATAAAAACTCTATAAAAATTATATTAAAACTATATTAAAAGACTTAAAAATCTATAAAAATTATATAAAAAAAACTATGAAAATTCTATTAAAATTCTACAGAAAGTCTATGAAAATTTTATATAAAAAAAACCTTAAAAAAAACTATAGAAAATCTATAAACAATTTTATAAAAACCACTTATAAATCTATAAACATTTTATAGAAAAAAAACCTATAAAAATACATTAAATATGCGAATAGAAATTCTATACAATTACAGTATATAGAAAGTGTATATAAATTGAACGATTTTATATTAAAAAAAATGTGGGTGTTGTGTGTTTTTGGACAATTCAACTGCTCTTCAACTTTAACTGGCCCCCAATTCCAATTGGTTTGCAATGGTCCCAGTTCCAATTGGTAACAATGGCTTTAATCAACTTCTGTAGACTTACAAAATACACTATGAGCTCATATACAAACCATAATTTCTTTAATTTAAAACACCAACAAACATCATACGGTAGGGACATTACTTCCCTAGGGTCTCATTTACTAGCATACCCCTTTATATATTATCGTTTTGCTAATGTCTTTCTGCTACCTCAAATTCAAGGCTATTCTACAGTTCTTTTGCTTTTACAGTCCGGTTTAAATAAGCATTTTTTTTTCGTAATGTAGTCCTATTACAAGAGTTTATTATATAAAGCAATATTCAAGAACCATTTGTGTTACAAGTGTGCATAAACCAGCATTCTTTGAGATATTGCGGCAGCAATTGTCCATTACCATGCCTTTTCTTGTCCGATGCTACCAAGCTAAATTAGTATGAGTTATGCCGTTGAACAAATCTAGTTTGAAATACTAAATCACTGTGACTTGTACTAACATTTCTCGGAGTTTCACTTTCGCTGAAAGATATAACAAAACAAAATAGAGCGCATATTATAGAAACCGCTATTAAATGTATTACATCCCTTTATTATTGTATTAAAATAGGAGTAATAAACATATATGTACCTAATGACAGACTAGCAGTTACTTCTTTTTTAAACAAAAGAAAATTATTATTTTTTTTTTTTTTAGTTTTTTAAACAGCTTAGCCTACACTACAATTTCAATATCCCTTAAGGCCTATATAGGCCTAATATATACACATTCAATTTGATTAAACTCTATCGTGTAAACGACATTATCATGTATAGCATGTTGTTTATAATAATAGTACTGGACAGTAAAAATAAAACGTCAACAAAACATTATATTCACCTTTAGTAAGTCAGGTAATTTTCTGGCCTTCACAGATACGTCTTCAAACAAACATTAATGCTTTCCTACTAAAATGATTGAGTTGACTGGATTGAGTTTTCACTTACAGTAGTTACCGAGAGAAATAAAATCACCACTTATGTTATAGTGTAGGCCTAGATTTAATACATTAACTTTCTGCAAATAATGATACAATTCTTTACACCACCCCCTCCCCGGTTAACCCTAAACCCATTATTTTATTAAAGCATCATGGACATTAGTGAGGACACGGCCCAAATGCAATTTACCACTCTTCTTATGGCATGCTAGACTATGGGGTAATTAACTTACAGCTAGGCCAACAAAAGGCCCAGGTTCTAGGCCTAGCCATAATCCTCAATGGACTAGAGAGAACAGAGAACCTCAGTTCTGTCTGTCTCTTTGTTTGAGCTAGCAGACTGTTACGTATTTTTAACTCGTACGTGGAGTGGATCGTTGATTTTACTTTATGAATTATCGTGAAATGTTGGGGCTTTCCCATAAATATAGGCTCTATTGTAATTTGTCTCTTATTCCGTAGTTTATATGTATTTCCGTAGTATTTATCTATATTTCCGTACGTCCGTAATTGGGCCGAATTTCTGTATTTAAACTACGGACGTTCCGTAGTACTTGAGAACCCTGCACTTTCGATTCAACTCAGTGCATTATGACTTTGCGGTGAATTTCAATGACGTCATCTTTGTCTCGGCGTATCAACGTCCCAGTGTATCAGCGTCTCAGTGTATCAGCGTCTCAGTGTATCAGCGTTTATAAGACAACGGTCTGTCTCCGTACGGCGGCTAGGCTAGTACCGGTACAGCTACTGTAGGCCTTAGGCTAGGCCAGGCCTCTTCATTTTCAAGCCTTCATCTACCACTACTATTAGGCCTAGGAGGAGGCTAACGTGTCTGCTAGAGTAGTAAACTAACTAAATAATAAAACAAAACCAACTCTTACCACTTGATAATGAATACAGTACTGCTAAAATACTTCCAAGGAGTATGTTTATAACTGGCTAACATCATGAAAGTCCAGAGAGAAATTCAAAATACTATCGCTTCTGTTGGCTCTACATGAAGTGACAATTCAAATCAGCTGATGGTCACTTGATGAAGTGACCAATCAGATTTGTGTAATTCGACACTAACATTAATTGGTTGGTAGGTGGGCTATCACAGTAAACAGGTTAGGCTGTTGATAACATTTTGCTGTCAACCCTAAAGCATTGTTGTTAAGTGAATAGGTGAGGGATAAGTTTAGGGAAGTTTCCATAAGGCTACCAATGTTTTAGCGGTTCCAGAAATTTTTCATAGAGTTTGAATAGATTTTATATATACATTCTATACATAATTTTTTTTATAGATATAATTTTCAAAATAATGTTTAATATTTCATTTACAGATAATCACTTCCATAGCGTTCGTATTCGTTTTATATATACTTTCTATAGAGAAACAATTTTACAAATTATAAACGTTTCCATAGAATTTTTATATATATTTTATATATATTTCCTATAGACTATTAAAGGTTACAGTTTTTAAAATGACTGTTCAGAATATTATACAGTTCTACAGAATATACTATAAATAAATAAATTTATATTGAAATTTCATATATGTTATACTCTATATAGATTTTATATGTTCCTATAGAGATAATCCCTATAAAATTGTTATAATACATTAAAAAAATACAGGTCAGGACTAAATTTTTTTATAGAATAATATAGAAATTTTATAGTTATATTATAGAGAACTTGTCATATCATTTGTATAGAATATTCTATAGAATTTCTATAGAATATGCAAGATGTAAAACATGTTGGTAGGACTATACTGGTCAGACACGAATGTGTCAATAAAATATTGAATGAAACAAAAAAAAAATTAAAAACAGAAATTACATTAAATATGTGTATATAGTATGTTATAGAATTCTATAGAAACTAGTTGCTCTATAAAACAATTTTATAGAAAATACTAATTTCTGTAGAAATTGATTTGTCTCTATAATAGAAGGTCTATAAAGTTCTATAGAATTTTTATGTATGGGAGGGGTGTTAAACCCTGATCCTTTTACATTTTTGAGCATGGTTAGAGCAGTGCTTTACCCAACCCGATTCCATTTTTAGTACAGGGGTATTTAACCCTAATCCTTTTCAATTTTTGAGCATGTTATTT